AAGAAGTTCAAGCATATATGTAAAATTATATCAAAAATTTTAGAATAGTCTAGAACTTTCTGATCGACATTTCTATATCATAAAAGGAATGATCGACATCATCCATTTTTGGTAAAATCCCTGACTGTTATATCTTGCTAGAAAAAAGTTAAGAAGGTATAAAGCGTAATTAGTATTGTCATATTATGTCAAGAGTTCTATAAAAGCACATGCAAGCAGAATCTTCATACCTTCTTACATATAGATCTACCTTGCAAGACATATAGTTAGTTTACGCCTGGCGATTTTAAAATTGCGAGTCCATCAGCCTTTCATAATATATGGTTTTATCGTCACTATATACTTATAGGTTAGGTCCTGTATTACAACTAGACCTTCTTTCACATTTTTCTCATATTTGTTTGAAAAAAAAGATAGAGATATTAGTTAGTGAACATATATGCAAAATTAATATGCGAAAATATTACACAGACCTATTATATGATCAGCCTATTTTGTCGCACAATCTGTGACTCAGCAAAAAAATATTCTGAACTGATGATCACTGCTCTGGACTAGCTAGATTGGTAGTGAACCAGTATTCTAATTGATCAACTAGTATTCTATTAAAATAATTACTTAGTGATCATCTGTTAGGTTGCCAGTTTATCTGATATAATATCTGCGCCAGATTTTGATATAAAATTTGATCAGTTCAGGCAGGCAATTAAGATTCTGGATAATAAATCATTATGAGAAATTTTATATCCATCTAAGGAAAGGAGTTCAGGATTCATGGAATCGGGCTTCTATCTCATATCGATATCAAGAATTAGACGTAAAGGCAAATTCTCATTAATATACTCATGAGCATCAGAAATCCCATAAACTTCAGATAGGTGATCAATTAGTGTAAAGCCTGATCCTGTCACCCGAATGATATATTTGGAAACAATCTCTTCAACATAATAGGCTTCTAAAAGGGTTACATTCTTTCTAGTATTAGATGTCAATAAATGTTGAAAATATGTATGATCATTATAGCCAGGCTAAAGATAGATACCATAATTAAGAAGTTGCAACTTGGTTGCAACTCTTTGTAAATTTATTTTAATATAAAAATTCATAAATAGTTGCAACTCAAAGTGTTGTAACTTAAGTTGCAACTAGTTAAAAATTTTAAAAATAATTATGGAAACCATCTTTAGTTCTACCACTGAATGGAAACAGTAAATTTTTATTATGCAATTTAATATGACAATAAAGTTCTTTGATGCCTTGACACTTATTAAATATATTTTAGATCTATGAAATACAAACATACAGTACATTGTAACCTGCAATAGAATACGAAGCTGATTAAGCAGTATATCCAATATAAACAAAAACCTAAATATATGATAAATATTAAATGCAATGTATGCCAAGTTATTCCACCCAAAAAAATACTTTTTTTGGAAATGATCGATATGATGATCGGCACATACGCCACAGACAATTTTCTTTTCTTTTCTGAACTAAACTTTATTTGAACTTTAAAAAATATATATGTAAGTGTATTTTTTGCTCATTCTGAAGTTTACTTAGAACTTCAAATGAGGTTTTTGTTTGTACAATTTGACTTATCCGCATTTTTTTTGCAAAAATGCGCCACATACATTAAACCATATAATCGGTGTAACCTGCACACATTTCATGCTACCAAATGTATGAATGTCGTTCCTCAGCAAATAAATGTTCAGTATATTTTACAGGATTTAGGGGAAAGTTGGTAAAAGTCTCAACATTATTTGTTGAAATCGTTATGCATTCATAAATTCCATTTAGTATCCTGATCTCTGTGAGGGAAAAAATGTAAGCGACTCGCTGGCGAAAAACAAATGAAGTAGGTTTGGCATATTCGATAAGCGAAGCAGAGGTGTTTGACGATAAAGCAATCAACCGATCCAATCTAGAAATGGATTCGAAACAACGTGATTTTTCTCTGAACTTTCATTTGAAGTAGAAGAATTTTTTTGGACGATGACATTAGATAATATTTACGTGATTTACAGCTAATAATTTTTATATAATACAGTAAACTTAAAAAATAAATTACCCAAAACTTTATGAATCAAATTTTTTATTTACAATTATTGTTAACGTTAATATCAATTACTAATTCTTTAACATTAATAAAGTTAATTCTATAAAAAAAAAGTCACAATAAATAAAAATTAGTCGATTAAAAAGAATCTATTAAAACTAGTATCTTCAAATTTTGTAATTTTTTTTTGAAACAAAAAGAAATTGCTCAATAGAATCAGCTGCTGCATTTTTTGTTTATGATTGTTTCTAATAATAATTGAATCTATGTCAAGAGAATGTAAATTTGACGCCAGAAAAAAATATATTTCAGAAGTTATCCGAAAATATTTTGCGAATAAAGATGTACCGCTTTACTCAACATTTAATTTTTTCTCTTCAAAATCCTATCCATATTCCCATAATTTTTAAATAATTTATATAATATTATGATGATAAATCTGTGCTTTCAGATTGAATTTTCTCCCTCCAGGATTTGCCTTTATAACATACAGCAATTAGACAACATATACCAATAATATTAATACCAACCATAATGGTAAAGGCCCAACCATTACCAACAGCATTTTCGAACGGTACAGCAACAAAAGACATTATTGCAGCTGCAAATGACCTAACACAATTATTTACTGCAATTGCGGATGCACTTTTACCTGGAAATGCATCAACTAAATATGTAGCAGTTGAATTAAATATAATAAGAACGCTAATTCCTCCTAGAGAATATAAAAGGTTATTTATTTTAATTAATCAAAAATAAATCAAAAAAAAAACCACGTACCAACAAAAAGAGAGATAATAGGGAAAGCGATATGTAAATTAGCTTGAACAAACCACCCGTAAGTTGTATAAGAAAGTGTAAGTAAAAAAGCACCAAACCAAACGCTATGAATTCTCATTTCAGGATAAGAGATATTATTATTTTTTCTTTTAGCCTTAGCTAAAACAAAATCCGACCATTTCCCTCCTAATAAACTTCCAATCATATATCCCCCACCTGGTGCAAGAAATACTAATCCAATGTATAATGTTGAAAGATTATATTGTTTTGAAAATGTTCTTGGTATCAATGTATTTAGTAAATAAACTATTCCAAAAACAATACTTACACTTATAATTATAAGGTACATATTAGGATATTTAAGTAAAATTAATGGTGATATTGGATTAAATTTTTTTCGGCGTGGTAGAGTGGAAGTTGTAGGGGTTGGAAGATTTTGCGATTGTGGTTGACGTGCAAATGTTTCGGGAAGAAAAAAGAAAATCAAAACGGTTATTACACCTCCAATCACTGTAAGGAACCAAAAGATCCATCTCCATCCGAAAGTTTCCGCTAAATAACCTCCAATCACGGGCCCGATAACTGGTCCGATTAACGGTCCAACGTAAAAGATTCCATACGCGCGTCCTCGTTCTATAAATTTATTATTTAATATAAAATAGAATTTAATAAACTTAATTTAATTAATTTTTCAAGAAATCAGAGATATATTACCAAATACGTGAAAAATGTCACTTATTGAACCAGCTCCTATGCTTTGAACTGAAGAAGCACCACAAGCTTGTATTGCACGCATTGTTAGCAATAACCAAATATTTTTTGAAATGGCACACATAACAGTTCCAACAATATACAAAATAAACGAGACCAAGTAAATATTACGTCTCGTTTCGAATGCATCAGAGTAGGATGCCCAGGCCAATGGCTGCGCCACAACAAATCAATTAGTTGATCGTTTATATATATACAGTGTATCCATAAGTTTTTTTCTTACCGCTAATCCCATAAAGAAAATAAAAATTCCGACTGTATTTTGATTATTTAATTTTAAAATGTTATCAAATAAATTAACAATAATATAAAAAATACGATAGATAATCTCACTTACTCATTCCGTTGGCAAGTACTTCGCTAGTATTTAAATCATTTTCTATTTTAGCAACTGCCGGATAAATTATTCTAGGTAAATTAGATAAAGGTTTTATTTAAATTCCTCTTGAAATCATGGATTATATTACATACGTGCTTGACATTGGGGCAATCATTCCAGCAAAGGCAATCATAAATAAAATCAACCGTTTTTTTCTTCTTGGCCAATTTTTTGGGTCTATATCAATATTTGTTGTTTCAGCTTTAACGGGCGAAGAAACAGAAATGCTTTCGTTGTTATCGGTTTCATTTGAATTCTCATTTTTATTTTTGTTGACGTCGTCAATTGTCATTTTTTCGATTTGATTTATTAACATTTTACGATTTTACTGCCGTATTTATATATATTTATTTTTTTGCTTCGATCGTCAACCGAGCCTATTACGTAAAAAATATAAATTTGTTAGCGTTATTAGATAATCAAAAATTATTTTAGAGGTAAATAATCATTATTAATCAAGTTTAAAGCGCTTACATTGGACCGGGTTTTATATGTTCCGAAATCGCAAATGTATTAAATATAATTTTAAATTGCGTACGATTGACTACAGATCACTGCCTATTTTTGCCAAACTAATATATACGCATATTTGAGATTTGATTTTATTATATATGTATCCCTTAAATGGTAATGATTTTCATTCAAATTTAGTCATAATTTTCATGCAAAATTCTACATATTGTCAACGTCTGAAATCGATCTTACTGCGCCGATCATTAGTGACCAATGGAATGACGACGTAATAAGCGTGACCAATACTGTGCCGAATGATCTGCATAATTCCGGATTTTGATTCTTAGAATCCACAGGATTCTGGGGATTCGTAGGATTCTTAGGATTTACTGGATTCATCGGATTATCATGATTCGTTAGATTTTTCTAATTCCTCCTGTATTTCCATTATTTTAATTATTATCGTTATTCTTATTATTTTTATTATTTTTATTATACTTATTATTATCGTTATAATTATTATCATTATTATATTAGCACTTGTAGTTACAAATTTAGTTAGTTTATAGAGTAGCAATTAGTTAGCCATAGCAAATTAAATTTGTATAAATAGAATAGCTTTTTGTTCAAGTTGTAAATTAACTCTATTGCGAGTTTCAGTTTTATTACAAGTTCAAGTAATAAAGGAATCAACTTTTAAAACAAAAATACTTTTC